ATACTCTCTTGCTTTGTATAAAGATTACTTCTTTACTGATGCTCTGTGTGAGTTATAATTGTAACAGTGATTCTATGTATTGGAAAGGGGTCTGGCTAAATGGGAATAGAAATATGCATGTTTCATTAGGTTTAATAAAAATGGTGATATGGAGAGAGCAATAATACAATAAATACAAGTAGATTATTCATTTGAGGGAATTTTTAGTTCCATTTTTAGCTTTGTTCTTTATTCGTAAGCCCAGTGTTATATGGTTAAGAATAAATAATGACACAGAATATAATTCTGATCATAACTTCTGATCAAGCACTGTTATAATTATGGAATCAATAAACTTATATTTGTGAAAAGGACCCAGCTCCATGCTACACCAGGTGAATGTCTAATTGTTTAGTGTTATATTTTGTAACTCTGTGACTAGAAAAATCCCACGATGCAATATCCCTCTCATTGGATATTAAATTCAATCAATCCCACAATGCAATATCCCTCTCATTGGACATTAAATTCAATCAAACAATAATTTGAAATTAGGCATTAAGAAGAGGTAACACTGTGAATGTGTGCCAGTTTCTTCCCATGTGCCAGTCCTTGTTTTTTGTAATGACACTGTGCACTGTGAAAATAATGTTGATAAGCCTGTATTTGGGAATGGGACACGGCTATATGTGATACCAAGTGAGTGTGCACTTAATTATCCCTAGAAATTATAGAATATGCAAGTTATACAGAGCATATATTGCAATGCTGTTTCATAACACACATAGTGGTCTATTCACAATATAACAAAACATGTCAAAAAACAAAGTTAGAAAAAATATAAAGTTCTGTCGAATTTAAAATTTTCTTAAACTTATTTTTTAGTGAAAGGTTTGCTAAATCGAGTTATAAGCTCAGTGCTGCTTACCCTGTATAGAACATACACGTTTGTAAACAACTATCACTACTCTGTATGTCAGGTTGCATTGCACAGATCAGTTTTTACCATGTATATAATGTTTGTCAGTCTAGTGCAGTTTCTATGCATTCTGATGGCTTTTTGTAAAGGTGAAAGTGGATGTGTGGACAGTGGTACTGGATGGGGGAAGCTGAATTTTGGAGCTGGCACAATATTGCATGTGACTCCTAGTAAGTAAATCCCAACTCGTTTCACCTATTGTTAGCAGAACATGGATTCAGTTTATAAGTTAAGGTGCTATTAATTACCATTTGAATATCTGATGGGGACCGTTTTTGGCTATGTATGAATAGAACATTGATCCTGCAGTGTAGCAATGGCTTAAGTAACATGTGAGTCATGTTCAAATTTCTGGTATTAAATTTGAGTGACATTTATAGCCAACCTAACTACTATTAAAAATAGAGTAATCAGGCTTTACCAGTATCATTGGCAAATTACTCTAATAACAAACCATGCAATTATTTAATGATAGGTGTCATGTGAAGACATGATATTTCAAGTTATCTGAATCTGTTATCTGAATAAAATCGTTAGTGATTTAATAAGCAGCTGAGCTGATAACAGCTATTAAAATTGTAAAAAAAAAAATCCCTTGCAGATACTTGGTATTCCAGGAACTACATTCTACTTACTACTTACAGTAAAGTGTTGTAAAGGGTTTTAAAAAATGAAGTTATGTAAACATAGATAAATGGACTGGTTTTAAAATCTTAAACTGGAGAATTCAGTAGGAATTCAGCATTGGTTTGCATGGTGACTGATGCATTTGTAGACAAAGATAGTATGGAAAATGTAGTTTTACACTATTATTTACTAGCTTTTCTTTTGTACTATTAATAGTCTGATCACCTGCTATATGCAATAATATATTAGCAAATTCATTTAAACAGGATGGGATGAGAAAACCTATACATCTTGCATTGCTTATGAATATAAATCTTGCATTGTTTCTGAATGCATTTGTTTCTGAGTAGACAATATAAATATAATGTTTAACCATAATATATTTCTAGAGATTGTTGCAGTTGAATAAATATACTTTGGTTTCCAGGGTGATTAATCCACTTTTAAAAATTTAGCTCAAGAATTCTCATTTAAATTTAGCCAACCTCCCCTTTCAACATGTGCTTGTCCGTTGGTTTTTGCACTGATATATAGCACTGGGATAATACTGGCACCTATAAATTGATATTTGGTAAAGGCACCCAGCTGCATGTTACACCAAGTGAGTTTTCCTTAATCTGTTATATTTTATTACTTAAAATTGGAAATTCAGAAATGCACTAAATGCTAAGAATTATGTGTAAAGATCAATATGTGACAAAAATCGAATAATCGAGCAATCAGAATGGAAAACAATTGATAGAATATTAATATATATGTAATGGTCATTCTCTCACTAGTCACTGTATTGGGCAGCCAGATAAACCATTTAGTAATGGCTTCTTCTGAATGCAATATCTATAAGACCTTGGGTTTTTTGTAATTACACTGGTTACTGTAAAACAGTAATAATTATAAGGTTATATATGGCAATGGGTCCTGGCTAAATGTAATGCAAAGAAATTATCCCAGCGCACAATGGTAAGTGAAAGCACTAAACATTTATAAAGGCAACATAATTGGCTTGTTGTGGGACCTTCATAAATGTGGAGTGCTTTCACATACCATGGAGTGCTGGACCATCTTCTTCGTGTCACTACTGTAGTTGCATTGTGGAACCAGGGTAACTTGCACCCACAAGCAGTGAAGAATATTAAGTAGTGCTGGATAGTGGCTACTTTATTATTTTTCCATTTCTGGCTAAATAAAAACCAAGTATGTATATATTCTGGTATTTTGTTTACATTAAAACAGGTGTGATTGAATTCATTATATAGAATTATACTGCAGCATTGTAGTGATTGATATAAACCTATGTGTAACACAATATTTTTTGTAAAGTTACTTAACATTGTGTAATGGTGGTTACGAAAAGATTATTTTTGGGAAGGGGACCCAATTGCATGTGACACCAAGTAAGTCAATAATTGTTTATTATTGCATCTGGTATTTTATATGACTTTAAATGTAACACTAGCAAAATAAGTGTACATTTATCTTCACTTTATTTATAAAGTAGAACCATTACAGAAGACTTTTAGGTCATGTATATTGAAGAAGTAAGTAAGTCCCAGTCCCCGACTTCACCTGTTTTATTTTGTACTAATGCTGAGCACTGAACTAATATTGGCTTCATTAAACTGTTTGTTAGGAAAAGGGTCAGACTGCAATTGACACAAAGTGAGTTTCTTTATTCTATTCTATAATTGTAGTTTACAACTAATTGTAAAGAATAATCTGTATTACAGAAAACAAGTGTTGTGTCTCAAAACCTAGAATACTTAACTCTTTTGTGGGGCTTTGGTGTAATTTCAGGTTACTTTGTATTTTAGCTATTTTATTAGGATATGGTAAATATTTACTTTACTAGTTACTTTAGGATATTAGTTATGGTAAAGGATTTACAACCCTGAATCCTCTTGGATGCATTACAAAATAGAGATGCTAAAATCCAAATATCACCACAATCAAATTTGTATTTTATGATGTTTAATTTGGATTAAGATATGCATTTCTGGTACTGTATTGTGAGCAAGAGGCAAATATAGACACAATATAGTAAAAGGTACCTGATGCTTGCAATCTTTGAAGTCATATTGTAATGACGTTGAGCATTGTGATAATGCTGGCTACAAGATTTTTTTTGGAGAGGGGACAAAGCTGGATGTGAGACCAAGTAAGTGTGTACTTATATATTAATTTGCTAAAGTTAAGTTACATTACAAAATTGCAGAGACAAACAGACAGATAGACTGATACAAAACTGACAAGTAAAATTACTGCTACTTCTTACATGTCCATCATAATTCTTTATATATTCTTTGTGCATTATATGATTATTTGAGTGAATAATATATTTTACTTTTCAGTATAGAAAAGAGATATAATCTGTGAATTGGATTCTCTGAGATAGGTTTAATCTTCTTACTAGATAGCAATGCCCCCATCAAAGTCTACAGGGAAATTGAGAAAAGAGCTTGTGCCTCTGTTAATAGAACCCAGTGTGTGTGCATAATATCTTAATATCCTAATATTGCAATGTCTTAATATTGTCATACTCTCTAAGTTAAATTCTATAACTTGCTTGTTTCATTAGATTTAAAATGCACAAAATCATGAATGCTCATAACATCTAAAAATAGTCTGATTAAAGAAGCATTAGGGTTTGTGTAATGGAGTATGCAACTGTCCCAAATATGGGGGCAACTACAAGCTGACTTTTGGTGCAGGGACAAGACTGGTTGTTAAACCCAGCAAGTATTGATCATTATAAAGTACATGTGATACTTCAATTCATATATATCAGGGAAAACTGTGTCATGAACAAGTCAACAATTTGGTCACACTTTTTATTTTTATAACTGTGTACAGTCTTATTCATTTTAAAACTGAATAATGGTATGCAGAATAAATAGAAGACATAGAATGAGAAGATGTCAGTCTATACAGCCGGAAAATGTAGTTGTATATTTTTAATTTTTTAATTTTGGCTTTTCTGACATTCATTTTGCAAGCTGGCTATTGAGTCAAATTGAAATCCAAATTGCTAAATTACAGCTAAAAAAGCTAATCTGTGTTAATGTGTTCATGTTAATAAAATGAATTTATAATATAGATGTTTTGACATCTAAATGCAGACTGATACAGATCTAGATGCATTCCTGGCATTAAAATTGCACATCGTTTGAAGGCATGTTGGCCTACGGAACATTTGTGTTTTGCCTTGGATATATTTAGAATGTTCTGTAGTTTCTAAATATAATACAATTCCATTACAGAGTGTGGGTATTTGTCTAGTATTTTTATCAGGCAAAAAGTATTTTTTTTATTTGTTCATTTGTTCAGCGATTCAAGCAATCAGATAAAACTAATAGAATATCATTATGAGCATAGAGCATGCATTTCAGGGAAATTGTAACCAGACAACTCATTGTGTGATTGATGCTGGCTCGAAAATGACATTTGGATCTGGCACAAAGTTAAATGTCAAACCCAGTAAGTTGATATGCTTATAGAAAGGACTTTATTCACAATATAACAGTTAATTTGATAACTTGTAGTTAGACCAAATCTGCAGAAGATTTTTATTTTTTCATAATTTTTTTTTTTTTTAATTCTGTTATTTTCAAGCAAGTCCTCAGGTCACTAAAATTCATTGTTTAGTATCTTGATCTAACTGTGTATACTACAGCAGTAAAAGAACACTACTACACACAAATCTGTACAAAATGTGAAAAGTGAAAAGAGGTCAGCGTTAATAATAATAATAAGGAATAGGTAGGCAGCGGCCTGGCAGAGGGTAACCCTCTAACCCTCTAGCATAAGAGTAGAATACAACAACAACATTAGTACAAGGCTGCGCCAAAATGTATCAGTGTAGACTATAGGAAATAAAAACAAGTATATAGATAGAGCATATATATAAAAAGTAAGTGCATATAAATCAGTCCAAGATAATTTGAAGTTGCAGTCTAGCGACGAGTGTCTTTTAAAGTGCTTTTGGTGATGGGGTGTCCTCACTGTTTATAGAAGTTCAATTATTCTCGTGATATGGAAGACACAAATAAGAGACCGATCATATAGACTGAGTGGGTCAATATATGTGAGAATATGAATATATATATTAAACTAACATTTAGACGAGCTATAGCCAGCTCAGGTATAACAGGCGTACAACGGTATGATCCCCGCTTATGGGATATATAGGTGGTTGTCTTCTGGAGTGAATGGTGTCCAGCTCTCAGGAAAGGGATATATAAAGACAGCTGATAGTGCTCTCTGTTATAACAGTGTATGGAGTTGTAAGAGAAATAAAAATGTACTTACAAGTGTAGTGCAGGCCAACTGCACTCTGATGACAGCATTGGTGGTATGATCCCCACCTCGGATAGTCTTGTAAGCACGCAATAAATTGGTAAAAAGCCAGGTAAAGATAAAAAATGTGCATAAAAAGATAGTTGGCACCAATAGTGACCATAAAATCTTTAATTATATAGATACACAAATATTAAAACCCATTTACGCGTTTTCCCACTGGGGTTTTTTCAAAATGGAATAAGATAATGGAATTTAGAAATAAATCTGTACATTCATTTACAAATACAATGGAATTTTATTTGCATTGCATTAATTATTGATTTAGATTCATTGCACAGGTCAGTTTTCACAATGCTGGTTCATATGAAAATATACTTTTTAACATGTATCCCAGTGGAATCATCCGAGTTGTTGTACAGACATTGTTGTACTGCCTTGGTACATTTATCCACTCTTGTGCAGGATCAATGCAGATGTTGTTATAGCACAACTGCAGAATATGATAATACCAACATAAATATGAATACAGTAATGATCTTATTTATTTTAATATAACTGTGTAATTTTAATTTAACTTAAGCCTTTAGAAGATTACTGGCTCATGAACAAATTTGCTTATAGCCTCCAATTTGTTTTTTTTAAATTAAAAAAGTACATTTCCTAAAAACTACCAAATGAGTAGCCCCTGCATTTATTTGCAACATGCAAGTAATAAAAGGCCCTATTTCCTGTTTTTCATATACAGTATATTCCAAATATTGGATAAGATTGCATCACTGTGTGAATACTGGTGGAGAATACTGGTGGAGAATACCACAAACTGATTTGTGGATCAGAAACAAAAATGATGGTTACACCTTAAAGTAGTTAACATGGTAATCCAAATTACTGGGGGTTTTTTGGTAGAGAAATTAGTGTGTGAATAAAGCTGAGTTTAAGATACATTTTGGATCAGATATCACATGTAGCATAAAATATATGATGCCATTTGATGCTAAGAGAAGAGATAGCAATATCTAATTTATTAGGTTATATATTTGTATCTTCTTCTGTATTGTGCTAATAACAGAAAGGCATTTGACCATAGAACGGTTTTCACCATGATACTATATAAGTAGAAATAGTACTAAAGCAATGATTTTGCTGGCTTTGCTATTTAGTAAAAAAAAAAAAATGTAAAGCATTTTAGATTATTTGTAATAAATTATAATGGAAGGTGCCAAAAATCTAATCAATATACAATGGATTGCAATCAATTGAAATCTAGATTGTAGAATTTAAATTAGGATGGTAAATGGCTAAGATGAAGATTTTCTGCTTTTGCAATTTTTCAGTTCAACTTTTGTTGACAAAAAAATAGTACTCTGTTTTCAGTTTGCTGAAATGATCTTTTCTTTAAAGTGAATAAACTCCCATGTGAAAGTATTAATATATAAATGCCTCATTTTACAATCATTTGTCTTTGGTATTAGACACCAGACTTTTTTTTTACCTTTTTATAAAGAAATGTAATAATTTGTCATCTGTTTATGATAAAAGTATTGAAAAAAAAGTTAGTTCATATATATCATTATATTCTTTATTAAGTTTTTTTTAATATATTTATATAATTTTCACTTTTTATCATAATATAATAAATATGCATATTTAAAAAAAATGGGAACAAATTTATAAAACTATGATAATAATGAAGCACACACACTGGGCATCTTGCAATATAAATGCTGCATTTATTCATATTTTAGGCAGTAACAAAAAAAGTGCCATTCAGTCTTAACCTGGACTTTTTTCAGCACAAATCAAGTCTATTCATCAATCTAATTTATTAATTACCTATTAACCAAGATATCAAAACAGATATAATGATTGTACATATATGTTATAATTTGCTTAATTCTACTTGACATGCCCCGCCACCTATATTGAACCACACTGACATGCCCCACCACCCACCACCCACCACCAACCACCACCAACCAAAATTCTCACTTTAGTTTATAATCCTATTAGTTTCTTTTCAGTTGACATACTGACTCAGATTTTCATTTATATTGGAATTCTCAATACATTTGTTCACTCAAGGTGACATCCCCCACCAACTTGATTAATTATAAATGGCATCCTCTATTACATTATTTCAAGCTAAGTAATATGCAATGCAATGCTCTTGAACACCCTACATTCAGAATTAAAATTCTGTAATTTTACATGCATTTTAATGAGTGGTAATCGAATCCATAAAATATAACACAAACAGTAATAATAAGAAGTATATTATTAATTCGTATAATGTTTATGAGCTTCTAGAAGTGTATGCATGAATCACATTAAACACAAGACATTTTTATTTACAGAAACAACTCAAAAAACAGATGCATCTGTTTACCTACTCAAATCGAATCAGGAATCAGAATCAGAATCTGTTTGTCTGGCCACGGATTTTCCATCTCCTGATGGCACAATTACAGCATATGTGAATGGCAAAACTCAAAACCTAACTGGTACATTGATGTTGGATAGTTCTTCTGATAACAAGTGGAGATACGGCACTGTGTTTTGGGATGATACCATGTCAGCAAACGAATGCAAGATTGAACATGGAACCAAAACTGCAGAAGAATTCCCAGGTATATAATACATTTTATTTTTTTAAAAGACACTGTCAGATCTGCAATTTCTATGTCATAGATTGACATGTTAACTGCACTGTTAAAATAATTAAAACTCAATCTATATTTTGAATTAAGATAAGGAATCTTTATATTATGTAAAACAAAATGCATTATTTTTTTCAGGCATTTATTCTAACACATGCGACTCATCTTCATCAACTTTTGAAACAGGTGAGTTACAATTCTTAAAAGTTACATAGTTAGATAGTTACATAGTTACATAGCTGAAAAGAGACTTGCGTCCATCAAGTTCAGCCTACCTCACATTTGTTTTTTGCTGTTGATCCAAAAGAAGGCAAAAAAACCCAGTTTGAAGCACAATTTTGCAACAAACTAGGAAAAAAATTCCTTCTTGACCCCAGAATGGCAGTCAGATTTATCCTTTGATCAAGCAGTTATTACCCTACATTGAAAGATTATATCCTTGAATATTCTGTTCTTGCAAGTATGCATCTAGTAGCCGTTTGAACATCTGTATGGACTCTGATAAAACCACTTCCTCAGGCAGAGAATTCCACATCCTGATTGTTCTTACAGTTAAAAAACCTTTCCTTTGCCTTAGACAAAATCTTCTTTCTTCCAGTCTAAACTCATGAGTTGGTTTCAATCACATACTATAGACTGTAATTAAGAAAAATTATAACCTGTATAACCATACACATATGGCTGAAGGTTCTACTGTACTTTAATACTTTGATAGAGTTTGGTACTTTAGTGTTGGTAATCACTTCTCATATAAAACTCATTATTGAAAGCATTTAGAATTATTTTTTAACAATAAAATTATCAGAAATATTATCTGTAATATTTTTTTCTGATTTAAAAAGTATAATGCTTGGCCTTATTTCTTTGAAGTCTACTCAAAAAAACACACATGTATATATTGTTTTCTTTATTAAGTATATAGTTCATACATATAGATAATTTTTTTACTGCTCCTCCTTTTTTACTCTCTACTGGTCACTCATCACTTGATCTGTGAATAAAATCAACATTTAGCTCCACCACAGTTTGGTTCCACAGGCAGAACTCTGAATCATTAAACAAACAAAACAGTTTGTCAATTCTCAATGTTGTTCATTTAATGATTCATCCATATGCCACCTCAGAGTTTATGAAGTTTGGACATGTTGCCAATTGCCCAAAAATTAGGCGAATTACAATTTTACAAGTCTACTTCAGACCATAAACATTCATACCAATAAGCTTTGGCACAACTGAGTCTTTCTTTTTTAGTGGTAATTTAGGACTTTTTTGCAAGCTGACACTATAACAACAGCCAGTAACACGTAAAGGCTACAAATTACAACCAGGTTTACAACATTGTTGCTACATTTTTGTAGCGTATCATTAATAAACAACTTCCACTACAGATATCCACCACTGGACAGAAACACACACTTGAGTATGTGCACTACATGGCAGTTAAATATATTGCTGAGCGTTTCACTCTGATGGCTGTGTGTGGTATGCATTAAATGCAAAGTTTAGCAAACCATTTCCGTTACATGTTTTAAATGATCAATGCTATATACATTTAGGAAGACATACTAAATTAAAATGCTGTTATGAGCTTGCAGACGATCTATAATTTATGCTGTTTTGTAACAGATGAGAGACTAAACACAGTGTCCTTTGAAGTTTTTGGATTACAGATGCTGTTTCAAAGGGATAATATTTAACATAATATCAACTCAAAGAATTTGGTCTGGATAAGGTAAGCAGAATTTCTTCAAACATCACAGTATGTCTTTTTAAAATTTTTTGTAAAAATGAAAATCCAGCGCACTCGCTTATCTACTAAACAGTCATTTTAGTGCTGAACAATTTTTAGTTTTATTAAAAACACCAAATCTAGGCAAAAAATTATGGGGGTTTAGTTACAGTATATGATCATACATTGCATAAGCCTGCCACAACGCCAATGTTTTAAAAAATATTATCACAATCTCACACTAGTTTACCAGGGCTGGACTAAAAGTCCATTTGGCCAAATGCTGAAAATTATGATGGGCCTAATTACAGAATTTTAGTGACAGAAAACACTACAGTTTCACAGTTGTGCTCACACATTTGCATACCCTGGCAGAAAATGTGAAATGTGGCATTGATTTTGAAAATATGACTGGACATGCAAAACAAAATAATCTTTTATTAAAGGATAGTGACCATATGAAGCCATTTTTTATCACATAGTTTTTTAAATCATAATGATAAAAGAAATCACCCAAATGGTCCTGATCAAAAGTTTACATACCCTTGAATGTTTGACCTTGTTACAGACACACAAGGTGACACTCAGAGGTAAAATGTAAATTAAAGGTCAATTTCCCAATCATGTGACTTTTTAAATTGCATTCTGTGTCTGTGTATAAATAGTCAATGAGTTTGTTAGCTCTCACATGGATGCACTGAGCAGGCTAGATACTGAGCCAGGGGGAGCAGAAAAGATCTGTCAAAAGACCTGTGTAACAAGGTAATGGAACTGTATAAAGATGGAAAAGGATATAAAAGTACTGTTCAATGACTTATTAAGAAGTGGAATATTCAGGCATCTCTTGATACCAAGCCAAGGTCAGGTAGACCAAGAAAGATTTCAGCCACGACTGCCAGAACAATTGTTCGAGATACAAAGAGATACAAAGAAAAATCCACAGGTAACCTTAGGAGAAAATACAGGATGTTCTGGAAAAAGATGGTGTGGTCATTTCAAGGAGCACAGTACGACGATACTTGAGCAAAAAAAAGCTGCATGGTCAAATTGCGCCAATGCCACAAAAAAGTCTAGTTATAATATGCCCGACAACACCTTGACACACAGCTTTTGTCACACTGTAATTTGGAGTGATGAACCCAAAATAGATCTTTATGGTCACCACCATAAGCGCTATGTTTGGAGAGGGGTCAACAAGGCCTATAGTAAAAAGAATACCATTCCCACTGCGAAGCATGGTGGTGGCTCACTCATGTTTTGGGGGGTGGTGAGCTCTGAAGGCATGGGGAATCTTGTAAAAATTAATGGCAAGATGAATGCAGCATGCTTTCAGAAAATACTGGCAGAAAATTTGCATTCTTATGCACAAAGTCTGTGCATGGGACGCTCTTGGACTTTCTAGCATGACAATGACCCAAATCACGAGGCCAAGTTGACTCTCCAGTTGTTATGGCAGAAAAATGTGAAGGTTCTGGATGGCCATCACAGTCTCCTGACCTTTATATCATAGAGCCACTCTGGGGAGATCTCAAACGTGCGGTTCATGCAAGACTTTGCATGACCTGGAGGCATTTTGCCAAGATGAATGGGCAGCGATACCACCTGCAAGAATTAGGGGGTCTCATAGACAACTATTACAAAAGACTGCATGCTATAATTGATCCATAAGGGGGAAATACACAGTATTAAGACCTAAGGGTATGCAGACTTTTGAAAATAATTTTTTTTCTTTGTTGCCATGTTTTTTTTTTTTTTTTATAAATTGTGCCATTCTGTTGTAACCTACAACTGAATATGAATCTCATAAGAAATAAAATAAATGTGTTTTGCCTGCTCACTCATGTTTTCTTTAAGAATTGTACATTTATTACCAATTCTTCAAGGGTATGCAAACTTTTGAGCACAACTGTACCTCCCAAGTATCATGTATCTGGTGGAGGTGGTGCTAGAGAAAACTCACACAATGCAGTTCTAAGAATACACATACCTTATGCTAGTCTCTGCCATACAGTTCCCGTATGCCCCAAAGCACTTACTTGTCCACTAATCTTTTTCCCTTCTTATAGCAGGCAAAAGCTCCTGCTTGCAGCCTGTTACAGGGAAAAACAGGATTAATTGTTTATGGGGAAACTTTAAACATAAGAAAGTGAATTGCACATATACAAAGCAACTTTATTTAATTCATTTAATAGTCTGCTAATAACACAATTTAAAACAACTATTAACACCTTTTTCTCTGTCCATTAATTCATTAAGTTCATACTTAATTTTTCAAAAGCAAGACTTTAAGAGTAGACAACTAAAAAAAAAAAAATCAACGGGCCTATTCCATGTTTTGCAATTTTGAGTTGTACACAAATATACATTTGCAAATTTAATGTGATAGACAGACAGTGACAGGATAGATAGAAATATCAAGAGCGACTAGAATGAATTCAATTTGAAACACATTTGTGTCAGTAATACATGCAGCATGGGGGATCTGAGAAAATAATTTAGTTTAAGAATCATCTCGACATTAATTTACTATAGAAAAAAGATCCAAGTTGTTTATAGAATTAATAGTCTGAATATTTGATTTAAAATGATGGCACTCACAGCTGTATTCTTAAGTCAATATATGGTTCAATAATAGTGTGTGTGAAGTTTCCATGTCCAATTCTAATATAAATCCCCGTCCCTATATCAGTCTAACGATATAGCAAGTGTGGTGTATATTCAAATCAAACAATGATACATTCTTATACTTTAATATATAGTCAGCTATGAAGGAATCAGTGGACAAATGTTCTTGAATACACCTTTACACAGCCCTACTTTCTATTTGAGTATGTAATTGTTACTGTGACACAAACCACACAACAGGGCAATTAAACAGCATTTAAGTAAATATGTTTTGTGTTGGGAAAAATAAACAGTGATCAATTTGGAAAACCTCAATAATACCCTTCACATAAACAGTAAATCAATATATGGCTTGTAATTATAACACAAATACACAGTTTTAATGTGTTCATGTTAATAAAAGAAGATTTTTATTTTTTCATAATTTTTTTTTTTTTTTAATTCTGTTATTTTCAAGCAAGTCCTCAGGTCACTAAAATTCATTGTTTAGTATCTTGATCTAACTGTGTATACTACAGCAAGAACAGAACACTACTACACAAAATCAAGAAACATCTGTGAAGATGAGGCAAAAGAGGTCAGCGTTAATAATAGGCAGCGGTAGGCAGCAGGGTAGGGTCCTCTAACTCTAGCTATAGAGTAGAGAATACAACAACAACATTAGTACAAGGCTGCGCCAAAATGTATCAGTGTAAGACTATAGGAAATAAAAACAAGTATATAGATAGAGCATATTTTATATAAAAAGTAAGTGCATATAAATCAGTCCAAGATAATTTGAAGTTGCAGTCTAGCGACGAGTGTCTTTTAAAGTGCTTTTGGTGATGGGGTGTCCTCACTGTTTATAGAAGTTCAATTATTCTCGTGATATGGAAGACACAAATAAGAGACCGATCATATTTTACAGACTGAGTGGGTCAATATATGTGAGAATATGAATATATATATTAAACTAACATTTAGAAGAGCTATAGCCAGCTCAGGTATAACAGGCGTACAACGGTATGATCCCCGCTTATGGGATATATAGGTGGTTGTCTTCTGGAGTGAATGGTGGCTTAGCTGTCCAGCATCTCAGGATATATAAAGACAGCTGATAGTGCTCTCTGTTATAACAGTGTATGGATGTTGTAAGAGAAATAAAAATGTACTTACAAGTGTAATGCAGGCCAACTGCACTCTGATGACAGCATTGGTGGTATGATCCCCACCTCGGATAGTCTTGTAAGCACGCAATAAATTGGTAAAAAGCCAGGTAAAGATAAAAAATGTGCTAAAAAGATAGTTGGCACCAATAGTGACCATAAAATCTTTAATTATATAGATACACAAATATTAAAACCCATTTACGCGTTTTCCCACTGGGGTTTTTTCAAAATGGAATAAGATAATGGAATTTAGAAATAAATCTGTACATTCATTTACAAATAATGGAATTTTATTGCATAATTAATTAATTTGATTCATTGCACAGGTCAACAATGCTGGTTCATATGAAAATATACTAATGTATGTAGCACACACACTGCCTTGGTGCATCCACTCTTGTGCAAGATATAGCATATGATAATAGCATGATATTTTAATATAACTGTGTAATTTTAATTTTTTTAGATTACTGGCTCATGAACAAATTTGCTTATAGCCTCCAATTTGTTCCAACAAGTGCCATTCAGTCTATAACATAAGATTGCATCAGGTGGACTTTGGATTTCATGCACAAATCAGAAATTTTTTGTGAAATTAGTGTGTAAGCTGATTTAAGATCATAGATATCATATTGATTTGATGCTAAGAGCAATATCTATGGTTATATTTGTATCTTCTTCTGTATTGTGCTAATAACAGAAAGGCATTTGACCATAGAACGGTTTTCACCATGATACTATATAAGTAGAAATAGTACTAAAGCAATGATTTTGCTGGCTTTGCTATTTAGTAAAAAAAAAAAAATGTAAAGCATTTTAGATTATTTGTAATAAATTATAATGGAAGGTGCCAAAAATCTAATCAATATACAATGGATTGCAATCAATTGAAATCTAGATTGTAGAATTTAAATTAGGATGGTAAATGGCTAAGATGAAGATTTTCTGCTTTTGCAATTTTTCAGTTCAACTTTTGTTGACAAAAAAATAGTACTCTGTTTTCAGTTTGCTGAAATGATCTTTTCTTTAAAGTGAATAAACTCCCATGTGAAAGTATTAATATATAAATGCCTCATTTTACAATCATTTGTCTTTGGTATTAGACACCAGACTTTTTTTTTACCTTTTTATAAAGAAATGTAATAATTTGTCATCTGTTTATGATAAAAGTATTGAAAAAAAAGTTAGTTCATATATATCATTATATTCTTTATTAAGTTTTTTTTAATATATTTATATAATTTTCACTTTTTATCATAATATAATAAATATGCATATTTAAAAAAAATGGGAACAAATTTATAAAACTATGATAATAATGAAGCACACACACTGGGCATCTTGCAATATAAATGCTGCATTTATTCATATTTTAGGCAGTAACAAAAAAAGTGCCATTCAGTCTTAACCTGGACTTTTTTCAGCACAAATCAAGTCTATTCATCAATCTATTTTATTAATTACCTATTAACCAAGATATCAAAACAGATATAATGTTTGTACATATATGTTATAATTTGCTTAATTCTACTTGACATGCCCCGCCACCTATATTGAACCACACTGACATGCCCCACCACCCACCACCCACCACCACCAACCAAAATTCTCACTTTAGTTTATAATCCTATTAGTTTCTTTTCAGTTGACATACTGACTCAGATTTTCATTTATATTGGAATTCTCAATACATTTGTTCACTCAAGGTGACATCCCCCACCAACTTGATTAATTATAAATGGCATCCTCTATTACATTATTTCAAGCTAAGTAATATGCAATGCAATGCTCTTGTACACCCTACATTCAGAATTAAAATTCTGTAATTTTACATGCATTTTAATGAGTGGTAATCGAATCCATAAAATATAACACAAACAGTAATAATAAGAAGTATATTATTAATTCGTATAATGTTTATGAGTTTCTAGAAGTGTATGCATGAATCACATTAAACACAAGACATTTTTATTTACAGAAACAACTCAAAAAACAGATGCATCTGTTTACCTACTCAAATCGAATCAGGAATCAGAATCAGAATCTGTTTGTCTGGCCACGGATTTTCCATCTCCTGATGGCACAATTACAGCATATGTGAATGGCAAAACTCAAAACCTAACTGGTACATTGATGTTGGATAGTTCTTCTGATAACAAGTGGAGATACGGCACTGTGTTTTGGGATGATACCATGTCAGCAAACGAATGCAAGATTGAACATGGAACCAAAACTGCAGAAGAATTCCCAGGTATATAATACATTTTATTTTTTTAAAAGACACTGTCAGATCTGCAATTTCTATGTCATAGATTGACATGTTAACTGCACTGTTAAAATAATTAAAACTCAATCTATATTTTGAATTAAGATAAGGAATCTTTATATTATGTAAAACAAAATGCATTATTTTTTTCAGGCATTTATTCTAACACATGCGACTCATCTTCATCAACTTTTGAAACAGGTGAGTTACAATTCTTAAAAGTTACATAGTTAGATAGTTACATAGTTACATAGCTGAAAAGAGACTTGCGTCCATCAAGTTCAGCCTACCTCACATTTGTTTTTTGCTGTTGATCCAAAAGAAGGCAAAAAAACCCAGTTTGAAGCACAATTTTGCAACAAACTAGGAAAAAAATTCCTTCTTGACCCCAGAATGGCAGTCATATTTATCCTTGGATCAAGCAGTTATTACCCTACATTGAAAGATTATATCCTTGAATATTCTGTTCTTGCAAGTATGCATCTAGTAGCCGTTTGAACATCTGTATGGACTCTGATAAAACCACTTCCTCAGGCAGAGAATTCCACATCCTGATTGTTCTTACAGTTAAAAAACCTTTCCTTTGCCTTAGACAAAATCTTCTTTCTTCCAGTCTAAACTCATGAGTTGGTTTCAATCACATACTATAGACTGTAATTAAGAAAAATTATAACCTGTATAACCATACACATATGACTGAAGGTTCTACTGTACTTTAATACTTTGATAGAGTTTGGTACTTTAGTGTTGGTAATCACTTCTCATATAAAACTCATTATTGAAAGCATTTAGAATTATTTTTTAACAATAAAATTATCAGAAATATTATCTGTAATATTTTTTTCTGATTTAAAAAGTATAATGCTTGGCCTTATTTCTTTGAAGTCTACTCAAAAAAACACACATGTATATATTGTTTTCTTTATTAAGTATATAGTTCATACATATAGATAATTTTTTTACTGCTCCTCCTTTTTTACTCTCTACTGGTCACTCATCACTTGATCTGTGAATAAAATCAACATTTAGCTCCACCACAGTTTGGTTCCACAGGCAGAACTCTGAATCATTAAACAAACAAAACAGTTTGTCAATTCTCAATGTTGTTCATTTAGTGATTCATCCATATGCCACCTCAGAGTTTATGAAGTTTGGACATGTTGCCAATTGCCCAAAAATTAGGCGAATTACAATTTTACAAGTCTACTTCAGACCATAAACATTCATACCAATAAGCTTTGGCACAACTGAGTCTTTCTTTTTTAGTGGAAATTTAGGACTTTTTTGCAAGCTGACACTATAACAACAGCCAGTAACACGTAAAGGCTACAAATTACAACCAGGTTTACAACATTGTTGCTACATTTTTGTAGCATATCATTAATAAACAACTTCCACTACAGATATCCACCACTGGACAGAAACACACACTTGAGTATGTGCACTACATGGCAGTTAAATATATTGCTGAGCGTTTCACTCTGATGGCTGTGTGTGGTATGCATTAAATGCAAAGTTTAGCAAACCATTTCCGTTACATGTTTTAAATGATCAATGCTATATACATTTAGGAAGACATACTAAATTAAAATGCTGTTATGAGCTTGCAGACGATCTATAATTTATGCTGTTTTGTAACAGATGAGAGACTAAACACAGTGTCCTTTGAAGTTTTTGGATTAAGATGTCTGGTTATCAAAGGGATAATATTTAACATAATATCAACTCAAAGAATTTGGTCTGGATAAGGTAAGCAGAATTTCTTCAAACATCACAGTATGTCTTTTTAAAAAATATTGTAAAAATGAAAATCCAGCGCACTCGCTTATCTACTAAACAGTCATTTTAGTGCTGAACAATTTTTAGTTTTATTAAAAACACCAAATCTAGGCAAAAAATAATGGGGGTTTAGTTACAGTATATGATCATACATTGCATAAGCCTGCCACAACGCCAATGTTTTAAAAAATATTATCACAATCTCACACTAGTTTACCAGGGCTGGACTAAAAGTCCATTTGGCCAAATGCTGAAAATTATGATGGGCCTAATTACAGAATTTTAGTGACAGAAAACACTACAGTTTTACAGTTGTGCTCACAAATTTGCATACCCTGGCAGAAAACGTGAAATGTGGCATTGATTTTGAAAATATGACTGGACATGCAAAACAAAATAATCTTTTATTAAAGGATAGTGACCATATGAAGCCATTTTTTATCACATAGTTTTTTGGCTCCTTTTTTAAATCATAATGATAAAAGAAATCACCCAAATGGTCCTGATCAAAAGTTTACATACCCATGAATGTTTGACCTTGTTACAGACACACAAGGTGACACTCAGAGGTAAAATGTCAATTAAAGGTCAATTTCCCAATCATGTGGCTTTTTAAATTGCATTCTGTGTCTGTGTATAAATAGTCAATGAATTTGTTAGCTCTCACATGGATGCACTGAGCAGGCTAGATACTGTGCCAGGGGGAGCAGAACAGATCTGTCAAAAGACCTGTGTAACAAGGTAATGGAACTGTATAAAGATGGAAAAGGATATAAAAGTACTGTTCAATGACTTATTAAGAAGTGGAATATTCAGGCATCTCTTGATACCAAGCCAAGGTCAGGTAGACCAAGAAAGATTTCAGCCACGACTGCCAGAAGAATTGTTCGAGATACAAAGAGATACAAAGAAAACCCACAGGTAACCTTAGGAGAAAATACAGGATGTTCTGGAAAAAGATGGTGTGGTCGTTTCAAGGAGCACAATACGACGATACTTGAGCAAAAAAAAGCTGCATGGTCAAATTGCGCCAATGCCATAAAAAAGTCTAGTTACAATATGCCCGACAACACCTTGACACACAGCTTTTGTCACACTGTAATTTGGAGTGATGAACCCAAAATAGATCTTTATGGTCACCACCATAAGCGCTATGTTTGGAGAGGGGTCAACAAGGCCTATAGTAAAAAGAATACCATTCGCACTGCAAAGCATGGTGGTGGCTCACTCATGTTTTGGGGGGTGGTGAGCTCTGAAGGCATGGGGAATCTTGTAAAAATGAATGGCAAGATGAATGCAGCATGCTTTCAGAAAATACTGGCAGACAATTTGCATTCTTCTGCACAAAGTCTGTGCATGGGACGCTCTTGGACTTTCTAGCATGACAATGACCCAAATCACGAGGCCAAGTTGACTCTCCAGTTGTTATGGCAGAAAAATGTGAAGGTTCTGGATGGCCATCACAGTCTACTGACCTTTATATCATAGAGCCACTCTAGGGAGATCTCAAACGTGCTGTTCATGCAAGACTTTGCATGACCTGGAGGCATTTTGCCAAGATGAATGGGCAGCGATACCACCTGCAAGAATTAGGGGGTCTCATAGACAACTATTACAAAAGACTGCATGCTGTAATTGATCCATAAGGGGGCAATACACAGTATTAAGACCTAAGGGTATGCAGACTTTTGAAAATAATTTTTTTTCTTTGTTGCCATGTTTTTTTTTTTATAAATTGTGCCATTCTGTTGTAACCTACAATTGAATATGAATCTCATAAGAAATAAAATAAATGTGTTTTGCCTGCTCACTCATGTTTTCTTTAAAAATTGTACATTTATTACCAATTCTTCAAGGGTATGCAAACTTTTGAGCACAACTGTACCTCCCAAGTATCATGCATCTGGTGGAGGTGGTGCTAGAGGAAACTCACACAATGCAGTTCTAAGAATACACATACCTTATGCTAGTCTCTGGCATACAGTTCCCGTATGCCCCAAAGCACTTACTTGTCCACTAATCTTTTTCCCTTCTTACTAGCAGGCAAAAGCTCCTTCTATGCAGCCTGTTATAGAGAAAAAGGTGGATGTAGTGATTGTAGAATTATGGGGACATGCCACACTGTTAAATAAGAAAGAGAATTGCACAATATACAAAGTCAACTTTATCTTAATTCATTTATAGTCTGCTAATACACACACATTTAAAACTCACTATTAACCACCTTTTTCTCTGTCCATTACATTCCTCTTAAGTTCCCATACTTAATTCCCTCTTCACAAAGCAAGAGCTTGTGAAGAGTAGCAAATAAATAAAAAAATAATCAACGGGCCTATTCCATGCTTTAGCAATTTTGTAGTTGTACCCACAAAAAACATTGGGGCACTCATGTGCTGAATCCAGTGGAGTGTTCTTTTAAACAGATTACTTGACTAGAATGACCTAAGAATCTTGAAATACATGCATCCAATACTAGTGGTCAAGTAGTGCGTGTGGTCCTGAGAGGTCCTGCATGGCAATTGCTGTTTTAAAAATGTAAAGTCTTACAATATAGCAAAGAAGAATTTGCATTCATTAACATCAAGTAGTCATTCTTCTACATTATATTAACTGTACTTTCATTTTTCTCTTTTGACAGATAATTTGGGAGCTTTAAAAACAAAATGGAAAAAAAGAAGATTTTTATTTTTTGCAGATCTTATTTTAGTGTCTTTTGTATATAACTAATAAAACAACTGTGTTTTCTGAGATACATATTTTGTACGTCACACGGCAAGCCTGCAATTTTTCTGTTGAACTTTTGTAAGAACACTCTGTTATGTCCAAGTATTGTAGTTAAAATAAAATAATGCCTTTAACTATCATATAATCAACCTCTGTAGCCATTGTGTACTTCTACTCCCATACTCAAGCAGGTGTTAAAGATGGAATTACAGAAAAAAATAATTTATTCATGATGATGTCACTGTTTATAATGGTACATGCTTTCAACCACAGGATATAGTCCAAGTTTCCAGCATTAACAGGAGCATACAAGATGTCATAAGAATTGTGAATGTTATCAATAAAATTATATATGAACACATATATCATAATATGAGTTTGTGATGAGATTTAACGCTAAATGAAAGGTTTAGATGTACTCAGGTCACAGGTTCTTCAAAGAAAACATTCAAAATGGCTTTAAAAAACTGCTGAGCAAAATGAATATAAATTAGGTCATGCTTCTCCTAGAAACATGTTGATATAGTATAAAATATTGTAATATTTTCAGTATTTATTAAATATTTCCATTGTTAACATCTCATATAAACAAATTAGAAGATAAACAAAATCAGCATTCAATCATATGATTAGCAGAAATGCTAGAAATAAAACATTGTAGTATGATACAGATAAGTAGAAGGGTAATAAGTGTTTCCAACTGTTGTGCTTGCTAATTTTCAAGTTGTGCATATCGAGCTGCGTGAAAATTGTTGCAAGTTGCCACTAGAGAGGACCTAGACTTGAAAGTGAGCAGGTTTAAAAGTTTAGCACTGTTTGGTTCCAGGGGCGATTCAAGGGTCACAGATGCATGGGTGCAGAAATGTATTTGGTGTCTCTATGTCGGCATGGTCTTCTTACTAACTGCTGCCCTTTGCAAATATCCAAACATGCATGTTTCGATGGCAACAACTTCACCTCTCCATCTATAGGCCCCAAACATTTTTCTAATCACACACACACTAACTGACAATCAGTCACACACTCTCACTGAGAGAGACACTCTGACATACAGACACTGGCAGACATACTCTGTCAATAACAGATACACAATCTCACTAGTTTGAAAAAAAAACTCACAGACACACACAATTAGTAAGAGAGACATACTGATAGAGACACACTGACAGACACATTCTCACTAGTTTGAAACACACTCACTGACAGACACAAATTCATTGATACATACACGCGCTCACAGACACACACTGACAGACTCACACACACACACACTCACTGACAGACACACTCACTAACACATTCACACAGACACACTCACTAACACTGACTGACTCAAAGACACACCTTGGCTGCAATCCCGAATGCTTGCTGTGATGGGGAAAAGTCTTGTTTTCAGTGTGGTTTCTCTGGAAAAGATGCATCAGCTGTATAGCTTGAGGATAACTGAAACATATCATTTTAATATGGGTGAGTAGCTTCACACTCTCACTGACAGATACACCTACTGACAGACACACATTCACTGACAGACAGACACACACTCACCGACAACATATACGCTCACCGACAGATGCAAAGATTCGTCAATAGACACACTCACTGACAGACACACACTCAGTGACAGAAACACACACACTGACACACACACACTGCCTGACACACACTGACAGACACACACGCTCACCAACAGACACTCACACTTATTGACAGACACACACACACACTCACTGACAGACACACTTTCTGAAAGACACACACTCACCAACCGAAGCACACACTCAATGACATATACACATACACTGACAGACACACACACACTCAGCAATAGACACACACCTCGTGACAGACACACCCGACAGACACACTCACTGACAGACACACACTCAGTGACAGACACACCCGACAGACACACTCACTGACAGACACACACTCAGTGATAGACAAACACACACCGATACACACTCACTCACTGACACACACACATACACTGGCAGACACACACTCACTGACATACACATACACTCACTGACAGACATGCACACTCATTGACAGACCCACACACTCACTGACAGACAGAGACACACTCTCTGACAAACACTCACACACTCACTGACAGACACACATACACACTGGCACACTCACTGATACACACACACAACAGACAGACATACACACACACACACACATACACAGACACTTACTGACAGGCACACTCACAAATTCTTGCACACTTTCACAAATTTATTTAATTTTTTGAGGCCCATCCAGCCTCTCCCTGGGTTCCAGTGTTGGGCTGTGCTTGCAGTTCTTCACTCGTCCCACACCTCCGACACACTTAGTATGCCAGGGCCGCATCACAGAGGACAAAGAGAGAGGAGTGAAGAACTGCAAGATCAGTCTCCCTCGGCCACCGCCGGCTGCCACCCTCCTCTCCCCCACAGCATATAGCGGCAGAGTAGGCACCTGCCAGCCAGGTAAGCAGTTGTCTACTTACTGAATTAGCACCAGATCAGGGGCTCCATAAGGTGGCCAGTTGGCACCTCATGGACTCCCTGTGACAAGGATCCTCTCAGCGCCACCCACCATTGTGCGTCTGGGCGCTATGGTCTAGAGATAGAAGACTGTGAAATGGGATGAACCCCCATTCTACATGCTGCCTAGAAGGTAGTGAATGAATGATTACTGACTAGGGATTTTTTTAGCAATCATTGCTTAATAGACCTAGATCCAGTTCTTGACTCCATTGTCACCTGGAGCTCAATGATGTAGTCACAGAGTAATCACTTGTATGAGGATATACTCATCCAAGCAACCCACTGTTGCACAGTTTTGCCTCAAAACCAGCACACTGAGTTTGAAAAATGCAAACAGTCCCCGAAGACTTTGAGAGTCTTCCAACACCTTCTCTACTTTTCCATCATTGTTTTGGTATCCCTGACAAACAAGCGTATAGTTTACGTTTGTGTTTAACATGGAGCTGTGGAAAATGTATATTTTTACTAATATGGGAAATAGCTGATACTTTGTATTCTAGATTCTTGGAACGCATCACATGATTGGCATTGGAACACAAAGGGAGTTATAAGGAGTAACATGGACAATATAGTTCAGCTGAGAATAAGGAGGAGTGCTGATTATATCAAATCTGTGGAGGTAGTTATACCTGCTACCTCCTCAGACACAGTTGGTAGAAGCTGAAAGGGCACATTGTTTTGCCACACAGGGTGAAAGGAGTAAGTTGGTGGTAAATTGCCCACTTACTTTTTCCTTTCCTTTGGGGGTAAAACCTCTATTTTGAACTTGAAATTATTGCTTCTCCCCATTTCTAATTAATACAAGACTGCAAAAAGGCAAATGTTACAGTAAGTCTTCTAAAACTTTAGTTTTCTCAGTTCCTATATTTTTTAAAGCTAGAAATATCATAATCTTTTGACAACGTAGAATTGCCATTGCAAAAATGGCTGATATCGGAGCTACTATGCCAGGCAATATTGTAGCCGTTTTTGTAAATCAGCAGTCACAGTGCCATTTTTTGCTGCCGTTCTGTCCTTTTTGACTTTCTTTGGATATTGAGATTTAGCTGAACCAAGTAGCTGACCCAATTTTGTTGACCCAAATATTTTTATTCTCCAAAGTGTTTCAGAAAAACACAAATGTTTACCTTGCAGATGTTCAATATACATTGTTGTCCAAGAATTATGTGCGGTATATGTTTTGTTTAGTTCTCTGTCAACTAAACAAATGTTGCATAATGTAACACAGGGATGGTTAGTCTGCAGCCCTAAATTACACTAGACCTATAAAATCATATTGTGCTATGTGACATGATATGCCCTCAGTTCTTCTAATCATCTGACAGCCATGTGCTCTCTCTCCCAGTGTCAGAAGGTTTAAAGGAAAGTTCAATGGCATTTTACGCCTATACACAACTGCCAAAGCAACACTCTATGTCTTGACTGTCTAGCTTGATAGCCTATCATCCTAGTGTTCAAGCATGCAGGATTGAAAGGGTTGATCTGCCCTGTCCTTTTTGTGGACAGGGACATTATTCCATAGAACTAATTGTAACCACTCTTCACTCGCCACCCTTGTCTAGCCCAGTCTGTTATCTTTATTCAGTTATATTATGGCTTTCTCCTATCAGCCTCAACTGGTGAGACCTCACCAGAAAGTGGCTATATGTCTGACTCTTATCTACATTTCAGACTTACTATATAGTAGATTTGTGCATTCGGTTTCAAACACATCACAATTTGTCTACATTTTGGGCAATTGGTGGGTTGTCTAATTTCCATAACTCTAAATCACCAGATAACTAAGTCATGAAACATACAAAAGAAGAATGAATGAGCTGTCCATTGCTCAAAAAAAGATATAATTGATGGAAATAAAGATGATTGATGGTTAGGGGACATCCACTAAATATTGATTTAAAGTGACCAACAGAGGGGAAAAAGAGAAGCAGTAAAAAAACAAAAACTATATTTATATATTATATATTTGGTAAATATATAATATTTAAATATAGATTTTATTACTGCTCTTCTTTTTTTCTCCCAGTACTGGTTACTTGATCTACGATATTTATATTATGTAGATATTGTGCAGTACACTAATAGGCAAATTGCCAAATAGGCTGAAACAATTTTTATTACATTTTTTCAGACAAATCGATTTGGATAACCCAAATTCAAAGTCAAAGAAAGCCACGCAGAAGGGAGAATATTAATGTTGAACATCTGTCTAAACATTTCCTGTTATTTAAATGTGCCTAGGGATTTGGGATAGTGCACAGGTAACTTTGTTTGTGTTAGTGCTAATGGGAAATACTTAACAAAGTCCTTTCCTATGGACATTTTTAAAATAAAATATAAAAAGCATGTCTAGCCCTTAGTATGCAAGGAATTAATTACTATTTTTAAAGCATGCCAGTGTTTGCGGTACTTATAAAAATACAATTGTAATATGCTCTATTCTAATTCTAGTACGTGTATCTCAGTTTCCGTCATTACATCAGATAAGTTCACCCTTGTCTACTTCCGTTATCTCAGCAAAATAAAATAAACTAGAACAGGAAGTGTGGGTTTGAAGGGCAACGCACAGGTGCAAGTGGCTAATGTGCTGCTACGAAAACTGCTCACTAAAAAAAAACATTTAAAGCCTCTGCTTCTGAACCACATCCTCTGGAAAGTCACAGAGATAAAAATATAGACTTTGAAACAGGTGATATGCAAACAATAAAAACATAATGAGGCAGGTAAACTAGCTCATTGTAGCTAACTTGTGCTTTAATATTACACAGCTGTGAGGAGCAGCATAAATTCTTAACGATAAGGTGACTTTCACTGGT